CGACGCTTTTTTCAGTTAAGTTTTGCTGTGGTATTGAGTCATTAACTATTTGTTCTGTGTTTATTACTCATCTCTCTAAATGCAAATGCATATTACCAAATGTCACCTCAGCTATCAGTTTATTCAAACTTATTTTTTTTTTTCTCGTGTCGTTCATTTTATTTGGAAATTTTTTATGGAATTGCACAACCGGAGTTTTTCCTCAATAAATTCTTTGTTGTGACTTGAAATCACCATATTCATATATGTTTAAGGAGCGAACGGTGATCATCGTGCAATTTCATACCATTTTTCGTCCGAATTCATTTGGTAGAAACTCAAAAAATGCAAATTATTCGACGAAAATTTATATTCATTATTTTAAATTTGATGTGGTGTTGAGGCGAATTTCCAGCGACAAGGAATGTGCCAATGCGACATACTTGTTTACTTCGTTTAAAAACAGGCAATTAAATTGTTTTCAGTCATATGGTTTTTCATGAATTTTGCCATGATAATGGGAATGCCTAATTGTCTGGATTCCATTGATTGAATTTCGCATTTGATCGAATTTGAAGACGAACGGTATAAAATTTAGAATTTATGACCGTTTTTGGAACGGCGCACGTGCATATTTATAGCCGAGTTGTGAATACGGCCACTTGGCAATGTTCTTGACAAATTGTTAATTTAAATGTGAGTCGCGAGTGAAACCCGATTTGAGCAACAGCAACAACAAAAATGTGTTATCTCTGGAAATTCGAATTTTCGTTAATTGAGCCGAACCGCGAGATTCAATCGATGCGGGCAATCGCTAACAACAATATTGCTAGACAAATCAATTTTATCAATGACAACAAAATAATCGTTCTGTTTGCATGCGTCGAAATAAATTACTAAAGTAAATGGCGGATTTTTTCAGTTAATTTTTTGTATTGCATTTCGTTTGCATTTGATTGAGTGAATAAAAAGCGTGTCGAATGGCTTCTAATAGAAATTGAATATTTGAATCAGATCATAAACGTCTCGGAAAAAAAGTACGTGACTGATTCGTGTGAATTGCAATTGATTGTTTGCCAGCACACACACACACATGATCTCAAAATCAAAATATACAATTTCCAAACGGCAAACGGATTTTTTTGTCAAACCGTTTTTATCTGGTCATTGTTGTCGTTTGCATATGATACGAAGATTACCTTGAATGGGTTAGACGACACACATCTTGCAAAAAATGATTTTGTTTCATTCAATAAATTATAAGTTCACAAACTTGGTGTGTTTGTTGTTATTTTTACTGTTCCTATTTCCGAGAAAAGATAGAGTGTGCAGGTGCATTTGTAGAAGAAAACCATATTTCTTCTTATTTACAGTTATTCACTTAATCATTTTGAAAAATGCGAAGCGCAATATGTGGTGGTGACGAGAAAAAAAAGTTTACTCTTTTTTTAGTTGGCATTTATCTACTGAAGTTTGACTACAAATCAATATTGATATCGTTAAACGTGACCTGAAACGGCCTTTAAATGTTGCCTGGGTTTTAGTTTGGCCGAACCAATATTACATTCAATGCTTTTTTGTGTCAGCGTTTGTCAAACTGAAATTCGCCGATGGTGTCGAATTCAATAATCTGGAGAAACAAGTTTAACATTCTTCTTCAATGGACATTTTCACACATTCACATGCGTCGTCGAGATAAAAGAGACATACGTTATATAAAAATGCAAAAAAAAAAACGTTTCGAGTGACATGACAACGGTATGTATATATTTGCGTGCAGGCCGCATATTGGCCCATAACCAGGTAGCGTGGACATTTGTTTGTATGCTGACATGCGCATTAGATTCAAGCTTGCATGCAAATATGCCCAGTATTTCGGCGCGATCACTCTTCCTATGTCTCTATTTTTCTATTTCTCTCTTTCCCTCTATGCCTCTTCCATTGGCCATTTTCGCGAATCGCTTTGAAATAGCAATTCGCAAAATTCGGTCGTTTCTCGAATTCATATCACCAAAAAATAATGATCAATCAAAACAAAACTGGATTTTCAGCTTGTTTTCTCTATTGTCGTCAATTCGAGATGCGCCACACTACCACAAATATTTACATTGATCTACTTTATTTGTTCCCGCAAAGCATTTCATTTCAGTTCTGTGTGTGTTTTGGCGTGGATTTTGCGCATGAAATAAAAACCCAAAGCTTATCGCAATACGAATCGTATATTTCTTCATTTTCTTCGGAACATAAAAATGTCAATTGTTCGCAATGAAATTGTCGTGGAATTGTCAAATTCACCCAAAATAAAATCGAGCCCGGCTTGTTTTCTCTTAATTACATGCCGAATACAATGGCCAATGATATGTCTAAATTATTTATTCAAATGTTTGGCTGAAATGAAACGGTTATGGATGTGTATGGACGCGCGCGTCACATGCAAACACAATCAATCTAAACACGACGGCTGAATCTGCCTGAAAATAGACACAGAAAAATGATGTGTGAATACTTGAAACACTTGCGATTTCAATTTAAACGAACGAATTAATTGGGAAGAGAGAAAAAAAACTTATGCGCAAATGGGAATCGGTTTTGGGTATTATTATTTAAGCGCCAATACAAACATTTTGTTTGAAATGTTTCCGCCGAATTGAATCAATTGAAAAATATAATATCTAACAAGTCGCGTAAAATCGATTATTTAATCAATCACTTTCATCTGTATTTTTTTCGCTACGCAATGCAATCAAAACCGCGCGCAGCTTATTAAATTTCAAGAGAATAAAGTACTGTGCTGGGTCGCTGTGCAGCAAGTCCATGGCCAAATCTGCTTTAAACTGTGTTTTGTCGGGTTTTTAATTCGATGTCAATAGCCTAATGTGAATGTCTCTTGTAAAAATACTTTGAAAATAAAATTTGATATATGAATAAAATCACTTTTTGGCACCACACAAAACACTTGAAATCGTCTCATTCCCGAGATTATTAACAGTGTTTCAATTTTCGAATACGTGTTTATAACCGGTATGAATGGAACAATGTAACTCGGCAATTGATCACATTATAACATGGCGATTTTATTGAAGAAAAATTTCAAAAATTACAACACGATCGAGTGAGTGAGTGTTTAATAGAGAGCGCCTCGGAATTTAAATAAGTAACTGAGAAAGGGCCAAAGTCAGGAAAACCCAATGACCAGCAGTTGATCGGTATTTTTTTTCTACAGCGAAATACAAATCGTTACAATCGCTCTGTACTATCTTTTCTGTTGATAAAAAGGAATGGTCGTCGATAAGAGGACGGGGTTCAGGAATTGAACAAGATAATTATTATTGGCATAAACAGATTCTCCCAATAAAAATGACAATAATAATGAGTGAATGTTTTGAAGTATATATTGATTTATCTGTCATGTATTTAGCTAATTATAAAGAAAACGACCATCGAAGCAACTTATATCAACGCATATTGACCATTCGCACCACATCACAATTTAATTATAAATTTTAAGTCGAATATTTCATTTGTTTCATGAAATTTATAAAGGTTGTCACACGCCACCAATCCCTCGTTTGATGACTCAAAATCATTTCGATATTCTTGGAATCAATCCAGTTGTTCTTTTCATTGAATCGAAAAAATCCATAAGTGACACATACGCAACGCGAGATAGAGTGTATGTTATTTGTATGCGACAGAATTCAAATTTAAATGCGGGAAAACTGTTATCGATTTAATTAAAAAAAAAAACAAATATGACGTCTATGTTGACCTTGCCGACTATGTTTTTTTTCTCTTTTTTTTAATTTATCCGATATTTTTACTGCATTTCAATCAAATGCAGTGAACTTACTCAACGGATTGCAAATCAGGCGCTCGACCTTAGACCAAACAAAAAGCAAACAAACAATTCTACGCAAAATGCAAAGCAACATGCGGACTACTGTTCACAGCTACGAATATTTTCACTTTAAATTGACGCACAATAAACAAAGTGATTAGTTTAATTGAAAGCTGTGGAGGCAGCTGCGACGGTTTATCACATCTTATATTGATATGGTTTGCATTTTATTTAAAATACCACCGCATGGTAATTATTTATTTGTTTTACCATTTTTTTTGTTTAAATTTTCATCCAAATGAATATTGGATCATCTAATTCGAAAATAATTCTAAGCACCCTAAAAAGTTGTAGGGCTCTTATAAAAACCCACATAAGCCACGGATATAAACAAAAATCATTTGGAATATCCTAGCTTAGATATTTATGTGTTGTGATGGTCAGCGTCGCCAACTGATTATAGAATAAAACGCGTGTTGTTTTTCGGAATCCAAGAAAATCAATGAAGAGGACATTTCAGGTGTACACTTTCATTTACCTAAGACTCTATTTTTTTTACGTGGCTTGGCTTTGAACTTGTATCCGATAAATTTACTCGAAATTAAAAATGAATAAATAATTGGGGAAATGTGGAAACCTTTTTACAATGAACGATACAAATGGAAACGGAATTAACGTGGAAAATCGTTAAAAAGACAGTATTCAATAGCGGAGTAGCAATCAGTGTTTCCGAGAGAGAGAGAAAAAAAGAACACTAGAAATAAATCTCAGGTTGGCACGTGGTGTAGACCGCATTTAGACTGACATTACATTGCGTGTTAGCGGTGTATTGTGGCGGTATCTTCCACTTTTACACACACTAAAATTAAACATCTGTTAGTCACACGAATCGAAAAACAATTTTCGAACTTGAAAAACGATTTATTAGCTATCGAAAATACCGAATCGGGCGAGTTTTGGGTGCTGATAAACTTTTTATTACAATATTTTATTTGATTAGACGCAATAGCATACAAATAAATCGATTGCTGGATAGAATCCATTTCAAGAATAAGCTAAAACAATATAAAAATGTATTTTTAATCAAGCGAATCGCCGAAATCGTCGTCGTCGTTGTTGTTGTCGTTGGCGGCGACGCTGAAATCAGGTGTAGAATAATGCATTTAATGAACTTTGACCAAGACAGAAAATCATTACGTTTTTTCCTACCTCAAGTGTGTTTTCATATCAAAGATTGATTGAGCATTTTATTGCTATGATTAATACTACAATAGACACCTTTATTTCTTTCCTTCAATCGACTGTTTTGTCTGCCCCACAAATGTACGCAATTCTTGATAATTATCAACTTTTTCCTTTGTTATTATCGCCATTTGTACGTTTAATTAATGCGAAATCATACATCGATCATTTTGAGTTCATTGCGGTGTTTGTCGGTAGTGTGTCTGTTTTTAAATTCGTTCAGACTAAGATCATAAATTTACTTTTTTTATGCTAATGACACAAAATGTCAATCATTTCGCTTTAAAACTGTACGATGAAGAAATAAGCAACATTGTTCGGCTTCAGTGTGTTTGCGTCATTAATAATCCATTCGTGAGTATTTAGCCTTTCATAAACTACACATTTCAAAAATAAAGAAAACAAACTGTATCACATAATTTCCAATAGGTGGAGATCACAATTCACTGGTGGATGCTTTTGATTTCAAGAAGGTTGAAAGATACTCTGAAAAAGAGCATTCGATTTTCAATGCGAAATCTTCTTAACAACTTCAATAGAATCGATTCACTTGACATTTGACGAATCATATCCATTTCATGTTAGAGAAGGCATGAGAAACATGCCATTGGGGACAGGTATAACTATTCGTTATTATGTGATATTGATTACGATTAAACATTCTGACCGTTATGGAATCCTTTCGTTAGAAACAGAGAGCCTTTCGCTAAATTCGTTTGGTTTACTCGGAATATCACCGCTCAATTCTGATTTATTTAACGTTCAATATAAATTCAGTCAGGCCTTCGAGTCTAGCGGTTTAGTTCTCTAAACAGACCATAGACTTTCAAAACACCAATCATGCAAACCGATTTATGATGAATACATACTTTTTGCACTTATTTGAGTTGCGAATTGGGTTCAAGTATGTGTCACATGGAATAATGAACACGACCTGACCCTAAAATAAAAATAAAATAATTTGAAGGCGTAACTGAAATCAGAAAGCGCACCACCGTTTCACAGCTTGTGGCTTTTCATATCGTTTGCTTCTTCTTCTTCTTCTTTTTTATCACGGCATTCGTGTTTTTATCGCAATCATATGCAAGAAAAGGAATTGAAACGACGCACAGTGCGATCGAATCGTTTTGGCACATCGGCCAAACTTTAATCGCAACAGCTAAATAATATACGCACTGCAATTTATTGCCGATTGAATATTCTGCAAAATGGTAATTGGCGGCAGTTGAATGACTACTGACAATGTACTGAGTGTGTGTACGCAAATGGGCAAGTACAGAGAGCCTCATGCTGTTGCACGTTGAATTTTATGAATCTGAATGGAAAATTAATTGGTCGCGTTTTATACAAATCCTGAATGTTTTATGCATCGGTCGGTATGCGTGGTGTGTTACTCGTTCGAACATGGTGCGTTTTGCTCAGCTGAGAGTAATCCAATGCATGCGACGATCATCAGCCGATTTTGAATTGGTGCAATCGGAATGCACGATGTATGAACATTATACGACGACTTTACCTACTTTTTCAATTCGAAATGACCAATAAATTAATTCGCATAATTAGCGTGAGTGATTTGTATTCGCTCGCGCATGAATTTGCTGAGATTCTCTTTTTTCCAGTCGAACGTCTGGCGCCAAACTTTACGCAGCACTATCGACGACGATGACGACAACGACAACGATACACCGCAAATAAAATCATTCGGTTAAATTAACAACATTAAAAGTGGCCAACAGAGACACCGTTCAGTATATTCAACCATTAGGGTATCGACACGTCCAAGGAAAAGAAGAGCGTAACGCAAAACACACAACGTAGTGTGACCACATAGAAGAACAACACAGATTTGATGTAAACAGATAAAACAACTTTCTAAAACATAAAGCGCATCGCACGCTCCGACTAGAGATGGTTCCAAATCACGCGCACGCTTGAATATGCTGCTCCATCGTAGCACAGAGAATTTTCGGGATTGATCCGAAATGGTTCAGTCGGACAGTCTGTATCAGAATTTATGGGTGCTGGGCTTTTGACTGGACATGTTGAAATGTGAAATAATCGAAAGATTCAACTCTTTTTAATTGGAAAAACCAACTTCGTAAATACATTTGATTTCAACATATTTTGTTTATATTTATTACTATATTTGTAAAGAAAGCAGTCGCCCTGTACTTATTCTGATTGTTCTGTCTATTTACGTCTTATCTGCGTTAAAATGGAGTCATTTACTGTTCTTAAATTTGGTGGCATTTCCGAAGTAATTATATCGATTTCAATCACACTGTAAAACGAACTTTTTCCTTCGATTTTCATGATGTGACGATCCAAAATGATGATTATTGTGCTATTTTTTTTTTGGAGCGGGGCAAAGGCGGGGAGCACACCACAATTTATTAAAATCAGCACAGATTATTCTAGCCAATCGAACCGCCATATCGCTGTCTGTATCAGCATATTCTGTGGATATTTGCATTTTGAGCATTGATAAGCATCTTTCATGTCTAATGCGTTGAAAATTTGAATATTTACGAGCTGAATTTCTATTTGTTTCACTATTGCCTATTTCTTTTTCGCCTTTTTCCTGGTCCGTAGTATTGATATTGATAAAAATGCCGAACCCAAGCACGATTTGTAATATGGGAGAGACGAGAGTGTGCATTATCATGCTCACGTTCAAAAAGTGTACCGAACAAACACGTCATAGTTAATTTGTTTAAAAGAAGAAGAAAAAACAACAACAACAACAACAAAAACATTAAAATACTCGACTGGTTTTTAGTGTTCGCTTTCTTTGTTTTCGATGCTTGCTCGAAATTTGTACACGGCTCGTGCTGTGAAAATGATCACATTTGCCGCTCAATCTACAAGTAAGTTTCAAGGAATTTCAACCGTGATAACAATAATTGGCATAACAATGGCCGTACCGTTTCTCCCGATAAGTTATTCAATTCCTTTTGGAATGTGTTTTCCTGCGCGAAGAACCGATTAAATGATTACAGTGAGCCATATATGATTCGATGCAAAAATTTCGCAGAATAAAGTTGTGTTTATTAATCTAGAATCCGAAATTAGAATTGCTCCGCTTGTGATGTGTCGGCGCTTTGCATTGCAGCTACAAAATGCATAAAATGTGTAAATATTTTCAAAATTTCATTGTCTTTCGGACAGACGTCAAAATTAAAGCGCGCTTTGTGTGCGCGCTCGTACCCGCTCACTTGATGCGTATGTAAATTGAAAAGCCACTTGCTTGTGTGAATTATGACAAAGAGAAATGAATAAAATAAAATACATCACAGGCTAATCACACAGCGAAAAACAATCAAAATGGCCTTAAACAAATAATATTCCCATCACAAAAAAAATCGGTTTGTAAATTTCATTTGCATATTTTTCAGCGCTTTGTTTTCGACTGTATGTCGATTTTGCTATTTTGCTGTTTATTAACTGTGTGTCTCATCATATCGAGCGGCCGAAGTGTGAAACCTTGCGTTCCATTGCATACGTTTTAAGCTTCATTTTTCTGTTTCTTTCATATCCAACACATCTGTTTCCATCGGCTCAATCCAACTCATTGATGTGCAACTGGAATTGAGAAATGTCCGAACGCACACGTCTTGAATTGTTCGATAACTTTTTTTTTGTTTGAGAGTGCGAGAAAGACAATTCATTCAACAATTATCACCACAAAATGTTTAGCTACTCTTTTTTTTGTAAATTTCGTATTTAGATTTTTATATATGAAAAACCACTATCAATCAAACTTCCATAATTTCAACCAAAATTTAACCATTTTTCTTGGCACATAGTTTACATAACCAATTAAACGAACACCCGACAAAGAAAAACCGACATTAAAATTCTCGCTGATGCGATTTATGTCCGCACAAAAAAAAACAGATTAACACCAAAAAAAGAAATTATAGCAACCAATTACAAACTTTTATTATGTACGATAGGCAACGCTTCGTACACGTCACGTGCATTTGATTTATATATGAAATTCTGTTAACAGTTATAATATCGACGGTATACCACCGCTGAAGCGAATATTTTAAAAACTCAAAAAAGAAACGATAAATAACATGAAAATATGCAGAAAATCACACAATTTTGTGGCCGTTTGTGGAAAGGTGTATTTTTAGCAATATTTACCTGAACTTTATCGCCGAATATAAATGATCTTTCTCCAAATACCGGAATTTTGCGTATGTCTTTTATGTGTCACGATCACACGAGAAATTAGATTGCAATTTGTATTTTTGGTCAAACACAAAATCACAAAAATCAAAACGGTTTTACACTAAATTTAATATTTTGCTCGCACAAAATGCTGGTTGATGAAAAAAAAACGATTTCTTTTATTTGAAACTAAATTTTTTTTTCGATGTGGTTTTTCTTCTATCCGTTGAGCAAATTCTACTCAAAATCACAGTAAAATTGCAGAAGGATTTATGAATCGTTCTCCTTAAATGTTTTTGTTTCGTGTCTGTAAAATGGGAGCTGGGGCGATTAGTTTACATCACTGATATTTTCCGGATCGTTCGAAAGAAAAATCAAGATGAATTTCCTTTATTTAAAAAAAGAAGTTGAAATCGGCAACAGAGAAAAATAAATCACTTTTTTATTCACCAATAATTTTTGGTTCGAAAAGAAAAAAACAGAGAGAAAAAAAAACTCCACAAAAAATTTCTATGAAATTGATGGTGTTTCTTTCAAAAATATTGAGGACAGTTATTTAAAGTGGTATGAACTGTACGAGATTGAAAGATCAACTGAAAATTTGTGTTTTTCGATAAGCGTTTAAGTTGTCGAGTGCCGCACACCTGTGATACGATTGCCGTTTTTGTTGTTTCCAAAGAGCAGTGGCTGTAGCACAGTCACAACCATACAGTCACACGCAACACACACAAAGCCGTCATCGAACATAATGCAAAACAAAGCACACCATTTGACTGTATATGTGTATCAGTTGAGCGGTGCGACCGAGACAGCGGCCGATAGAGTTTGGGGGCTTGAGATAGACGGAGACAAATGAATATTGTCGGTGCTGTTCGTTTCCGTACGAAGTCAATGTTGCCATACGCTACAGACCATCGTCTATTTCTTTTCAAATACAATGATTTACATACGCACGACATTCATGTGTTATTGTCACTTGAGCAGCATGCAACAGTGATCCGATGAGCATCGATAATAAAATAAACGCACACTCACACACACACACACACACTCACATTGTATATCCATCGGAAACACACGCGACAGGAAGAGACAACAAAGAAACAGGAGAGAATCGGGGAAAAAGAAGCGTAAACAAACAAATTGTAAATTTAAAAAAAAAATCCAGAATATTTATTTGTGCTTTTATAATTGTTGGAAAGTGCGAAAAAGTAGCTTTTGAAAGGTGACAATAACAAAACACACTGAGAACTTGAACTACCTGTTACTGACGAAAGAAAGTACACACGAGAAAAAAAACACGAAGTGAATGAAAACATTGGAAAACAGCCAATTTTCTGTTTGCTCTACTGTTATATACGACAATCATGCACGGCTTTCGCACACATATGATAAATATTCATTGAGCTTGAATAAGCTTCTTCTTGATATCAATTTCATGGAGTGACTTGTTTGATCATCTTTTATTATTATTTATTACAACTTGAATTTTTTTTTATTATTGTCTAGGATTTTAACAAAACAAGTAATAATGATGGGTGCGTCGTTTATGAAACGTCATTTGCTATTCAGGACTATAATTTCTACAGATCCATTTTAGAGGGTTTAAGAGCTTTATTTACTCAAACGATTCACACGAAAAAACTTAGTTAGCCGAATGAAGAGAGAGGAAAAAAATTGGTTCGAAAAAATTCCAAATCTTTGTTGTGTTATTCAATGGAATTTTTGATTACATCCTTCATGTTAGCAGGCTAATGTTATCCATGTGCACGTGTCAAGGAGAAATCAATACGAATGAATCGTCAGTTTTTGGCCCCGATGCTAGCGCAACAATGAACTATAATTCATACTACTTTTATTGCCAGGAAAAATTGTATTCAAAAGGACTTCGTAGCAGCTTGAAACTAAGCGGTTGTTCAGTCGGTCGCGGAATCGAACAATTGTACTTGTCATGTTCGCATAGTTCTTCGACAAAAGCACATGTGTATGGCTTGAAATGCGTCATAAAAACAAAAACAGTCACTATATTCGTTACTGTCAGAAGGGAATATTTTTTTTATAAAAAATTCATACTTAATATGAGGCGAACGAAGACACTTTTTGACCGGTTTTGATCAATAATACCGAGCAATGAGTCGGTGTACGTAGTACGTACATTTATTTTCCCATTTCCAAGACTATATTTAGATTTTATTGATTTTGATTTCCATTATATTGTTATCGATGAGATCTTTTTGCTGTCTCGCCCCCCCCCCCTCCCACTGCTTGTGCATGTATGTGTTAATGTTCGTTTTTTATTTGTGGCTCGTTAACTGTTATCAATTTGTCTCATTCTCTCTCGGATGTATTGGTTCCACTCAGTTGCTTTTATTACAGGAAACAAACATTTTTCCATCGATATAAATGTTGATATGATGCGATTGGAACACACACACACACACACACACACATACACACCACAACAACAGCAACAGCAGCAAATAAGAATATAATTTAAAACAATAAATGAATGCGACGTTTTTGTATTGCTCAGATTCAAGATAGTACCAGATACTACTTAAAAATGATTTTACAAACGAAATCTACGCACCAAACAATACAAACAGACTTTTATTCCATTTGTTTTGCTTTAGTTATCGGACAAATCAATTAAAACGTTTTCTACAAGCCCATGACGAATTCAGGCAAGGGAGATTTGTTCAGATTGAACCAGCTCTCCTCGCAACGGCACATTATTGGATGAAACGGACAAAAATGTTCGGTTTGTATTTCATAGAAAGAGAGCTACAGCGCATCATTTTATGAAAGCAAACTCAAGCTCGTTTTGCTTTGGTGAGCCGATTCGCCTGAATTCTAAGCACCAATTTGTTTCAATTAATTTTGGTGTGTGGTTCTTCATTTGAAATCGAAATATTCGAGTTGCCATTCGAAAAAGACTGTAATAAGTTCTTATTTGTAATGAGTGTTTAGCAAATACTATTTTGTTGATTGCCATGTTTCTATTATTTTTTTTCCTTGTTCAAATTTATGTGTGAGAGCGAAAATAGAGATGTTTCGAAATTATCTTTCATCGCGCAAAACAAGAGAAAAAAATGGCATCTTATTTTGATCATTTACAATTTCATTCACAATTGAAATCTTGTTTCCGAAGATGGGGAAGTATCAAATTATTCACAAACGGTTGGTCGGGAACGAAAAATGAATAATCATGTAGAAAATGTAATGAATATGGAAGCGCAGTAGTATATCTATCATTATGTTGTTTATCAAATGGTTTCCTGAATATTAAATATCGAATGCAATGTGTGTAATTGAATACATTTCACATAATGGGGATCTCTCGATCCCTCTCTCTCTCTCTCTCTCTCTCTCTCTCTCTCTCTATCCGTGTCTTCCCCTCTCTCTCTCTCTCTCGCACAGCATCAGAAGGGAAATGAGATGAGATTCTTTGCAACTTTTTGTCATTCGAACTATTTATGTGCGACCGAAAAAATAACACAAAATAAAACAACAAACGAACATCAAATAATTTAATTGACAGTGTTGAACTGCAAGCAATTTCGATCAAAATTTACGATTACTCATCAAAAACATTATTATCAGAAACACATGAGACACAGGATAAGACTTGTTGCGGATGAATTGCTGTGGAAAGGAAATTGCGTCAGATTTGTTTTTGAATGAATCAAACATTTTCATTCAAAACAATTGGCATTCTGACAAACAATATTTCCTCGAGAAATGATAAACCAAAAGGTAAAAATGTGAGAAATCGTTTTTATGTGTTTTCATTTTAACGAGACATTAAAAGGTTTATCTAATCGAATTTGAAGTTTGCACCTGTTTGTGTCATACTTTTATGGCATGTCAATAATTTCGCTTTCTTTTGTCTTCAGGTATCGTGGAAAAGTCAACAGATCTACATGAATAATCAACAAATTCGGACACATGCAGAACCCAAAAACGATTGATTAGCATCTTTGGACCTGTGTGTATGTTTGTTTGGAATACCAAAAACGTGGCCCATCACCACTTGACTTTCAAAATATTATGTGCCATTTCTAAATAGACATTCAAAGATAGCAACAAAATGTGTGTTTACTTTCATGCGAACTTCAACCGTTCGGAAGATCGATATTTGGGGACAAATTTAGAATTTGCAAAAATATTCAAGAATAAAAAGTATTCTGTTCTTTTACAAATGTATTTAGTACATTTGAACCCGTGAGCATAAAAACGACTTATTAAATAATCGCCGAACAAAACGATACAAGAAAAAACGTACCACAGCGGTAATGTGTAGCACAGCGGAGTTTCGTTTTGAACGGTACCGTCCTGCTGTGTTACGTTTTCAACGTGTGTTTTGTTTGGTAGTTTTTTCTTATATCGTTTTGTTCGGCGATTGTTTAATAAGTCGTTTTTATGCTCACGGGTTCATTTAACGTATTATTTTATTAGCATATGAAATTCCATAATAAAATGTATTTTATGTTAAAGCACCTATGAAATCGGTTTTTTGGCAAATTAGCACAATTTACGATTGAAAACCAAGTATTAGAGCATCGAAATCGCAAAATTGCGCAAATGTGAATCGTATGAATTCTCTACTGTATTGTCCTTAACCGAATATCACACGCACGCAATCCGACTGTACTATTGTGCTCCATTTTCTTATGCGAATGGAATGGAATTTTTTCTCAGCCATTCAACATGTTTATCGTTCACTAGTTCGTTTTGATGCTTGCTTAGCACCTTGCCATTGTCTGCAACATTTTTTAAAATTTAATCTCCATTTTATCATCAGAGTTTTACGTCGATGCAGTCGAGTCATCATCAACCTCATCATAGTTCTCTCTCTCCACTTTGATCGTTCACTTGACGTCCAAATTGTATTTGCGTAGAATTGAAAAGAAGCAAATAATCAGTTCGTATTGAGAAAACATAATAACGAAATAGATAAAATGAGACCATACACATTATGGCACCAACCGTCACTAAAGAGACAAGATACACAAGAACGATGGCAGAGAGAAAAAATTAAATGTGAAGCAATGAAGTAAATGCGTCATCGTTCAAATTGTGCTAACAACACATGTTTACTCTTCGCTAAATGATCAATTTGCTTAAGAAAACACGGATCAGTCAATTCCATATCTAATGAAAAGCATAATAAATGGCGCACTCCATGTTTGGCTATTTGTTTGAGGCTGGTTTTCGGAGGAAAAATCAATTTATATCGTTTAATAATAAAGTGGCAAACGAAAGGTGTTCGATACACACACGTGTTCTGTTCAACAAACACACTTTGATTGAAAATGACACTGTTCAATGCCATCAAGTGGTATTGTGTGGATAAATCACGCAACTTGGAAGGCTCAAGTGGATTAATTGAGATGCATTCTTCATGTGAAAACTAATTTATGACGCCTATTCAATTCACGGCTTTCGCATTGTTCGCTCTTTATTGTTATCACACCGATTCCATGAAATATTCGAGAATATTTAATTCAAATCAATCGAATTTCCGTAAATAGAGCCCCACACTTTGTACATGATCGAATAAATACTTATTATTATTAATTGAACATTTCATCGAAAACATCCGTTTCTTTTCAGCGCCGGTAAGTTCAGAACCCAAAATAGAACCGGCCATAGAATGGGAAAATTGGGATTGTTTTGATCTGATCGCCTTTTATCACCAATAGCATGTATTTATTTACGAATTTGGCAAAATATTTAAGTAGCAATTTAAACCGGTTTTGCTACGGTGTCTCTGTTTCTTCCTTAATATTGGATATAAATCTTCCTGAAAATATGCTGGATTTTCTTGGATTATTCGACGATTACGGTGATAGAGTCAGATAAAGTGTCTAGTTTACACCCGATTCAATGAATATACTTGCGAATGGATTTTGTCATTTTGTTACCAGCTACTAGTCTACAGCAGCAAAGCGCCGCTCATACTATATCACAAATTATTCCATATAATCTCCTCTTGAATTGTGTTGTCAACTTTAAATTGCCGAAATGTCAAGATTCAAGATTTTGCGCATTCTCCCTATTAACGCTTGGATTCTGCTTTTCTTGTCATTCATTTGTGATAAACAAGACCCGGTAGTTTAATTGTGTTCAGTGTGTAGCTTCGACAAGATAAAAAGTAATATCAAGTAATAATGGCACCGAACACCAGACGAATGATATGATGTTGTTGTTTTCTCAGCAATTCATCGATTGTGCTTGTTTTCGTTGTTGTGGCGGCACCCGGAGTGCACGTAGCCAGTTCTCTTCAACGCACAATTGTTATTGTTCCAGAGATGTTTCAAAATAGACAAAATTCTATTTTTATCCCAACAACCATTAATTGACTTGATAGTTTATCTATCGAACGAAGAAAATAGCAGCGTTTAACAGACTTTGTTTTACTGACGAAAGAATTCAAGCGGAAATTGTCATACAATCTTGTGACATCACGAGTTATTCATATTTTAAGCATCATTTCGAAAGATTTATGGGATAAAAATGTTATCTCGCGTACACATCCAACTCATGTGATGCTAACCTAATTATAAATCTCGGCGTCAATCGCTCCATTTACACAACCTTACTCCATTTTAAATTCACTGCAAATTACAGCTAAAGCCGTATTGAGGACAGAAACAATGGCACAAACCGTCTCCCATTCATAAATCTATCAGTTCAATGAGCCTTTCATACTTTGGCTCAGCAACGTACTTGTCACATATAAAAGTATACTGTTCAAGTTCAGACAAGAGAAAAAAAAATAGCCGTTGACTTTCAAAATGGATACATCTCCTTCAAAGAAACAAATAATTACAATTCTTAAGCTGGGCTTAATCATTTGCGTCGACAATATGCCAGTTAACAATACCCATCTCGTTTATTTGATGACATACAAGTACAGAATATATGTAGGTAATAGAAATTGGAAAAGGACATTCCATTCTCAAGGTTATAGATGGAACCGTTATTATTTCCAAATGAAACTTTCATCGATTTTCATGAAGTTTTCTGTGCGGAACTTAATTTGGAAGATCCTTTTAAAGGAAAAAAATTCAATTTTATGTAAACTTCTTAATGATTTATTTGGGAAATGTAATTCACGGTTCAATATCATAAATTCCGAGTAACTATAGTTATTATAATAGTATAAGTTTTAAACTAAAAGCAACATTTTCAAATGCTTCGAACATCGTCCATAAGTTGGATATAATAAAAAGTCCATTTTTATATCGATTTCGCCATCAATTGCAATCAACTTACTTCCCAGATCAAATGCGTAAACAAAGTCAAATTTTTTCATGTTTTGAGTACACTGCCAAGTTTGGTATGTGAATATTTGTTCTTTTACAAAAGAATATGTGAACTGCTGAGAATAAAAGGCTGACGATTGCAGGTTTTTCGCAAAAGCGGGATAAAAATCAGTCGCACGCAAAAGAGACATTTCAAAAGGTTGCACGCAAGAGAGAAGTAATTGTTGTTGTAATCACGGCTTGAAAATTCGAAATGCGACAAAATAAAATGTTCCGTTTGCGTGCAACCTTTTGAAATGTCTCTTTTGCGTGCGACTGATTTTTATCCCGCTTTTGCGAAAAACCTGCAGCCGTCAGCCTTTTATTCTCAGCAGTTCATGTCATGGATGTGCGAATATACGTCATAGCAATAAATAAAGTGCTGCATTAAAAAAGCACTGCGTAAAAAATTTTATTCGAGATTGACAGCCGAAAGTACGCCAAGCGAATTGGGCTGTTGACGAATATTTGCATAAGCGGCGTCACAATTTCGTTGAAACGGTAGATAATAGTAAATTAATAAAAACGTCTCTGTAATCATAACATTGTTGAGTGTTGAAAGAACTGGCGCTCTCGTTGGGACATCACGTGATTCGGGAGACTGGCGGCAGTTGCGGCACTGCTGTCGGTCGATTTCGGCGGCGAATGCAAATTGGTATCTGGATTAAATGAAAATGATGTTGGATGGAAAATGGTTTTGACATCAAAAACAAACAACTTGCAAAAATGTGCTAAATAAAAACAAAACCTTTTTTTTTCTCCTCAATTTGGTGACAGCACCATAATTGGGCTATCAAATTTGTCGAAAGCCATAAAAAATAATGGGGGAAGGTGTATAGCACTTAGCGGTCATGTGTCAACGCAGAAATTGGACATCACGTTTTTTGTTGAGAAAAAGAGTGAATTTTTCGCTGCGCCTATTCCAAACACTACACAGATTTTGTGATAGTGCGCAGTAAAGTAGTGGCAATTAGCCATAAAGATTAGCACATTCAAACAAGAAAACGAAAAATATAACAATGCGCATCGAAATGGGGGGATTAATCATCATCTGTGGCAGATACACACGTGCAAAATGCATCGCGCATGCATTTTTCTATCTCATTTTGTTTTTTTTTTTCTTCTTCTTTTTCTGTATGTCAATATTATTTATACAAGCCAATTTTGTTGCAGTTAAACATCGTGTGTGTTAATTTGCTGGAGTTTCATGTATTGCATTTCTGAATTAAGCGAATGCACCTTATGGGAATGTGCATGACAAAGACAAATTAATTGGATTCACAATTCGATTCCCTTCGGAAATGAAATCAACAAAAATATCTGAAAACATACAAGTTTTATAATCATCTCTTTGTTCGATAATGTTGAAGGTTTTGCCTTAGAAATGATGTTGTGTCTAGTGGTATGTGTGTCGGTTTTTTTTCTTCGTCTAATTTATTATTCGCACATAACGATGATCGTTCAGATGAATTTGATACGATGTTGAGACATGTGGCGGAAAATCCATTTAATGCGATCAAACGCGCACAGCGTCAAATTGGTCGCACAGATAATTTCATTTAATTTGCAATTTGCATGTCGGCTCAAACATGAATGTGACCACACACATGAACAATACACACATCACCTATAAATAACAAGTTGAATTCGTTTCAGCGCCATTAAATCCGCTCAAAAATCTCGACAGAATAAAACAGAATACATTGAGAAGAGACAGGCAGAATGTGTGTGTGAGAGAGAGAGGGAAAACCAACCAAATTGTAAATAATATGTAAATCAAAGTTAATACCGCGCTACCGGCAGTTCAGCATCCAATTAATGGTAAACTGTCAATTCATCTCATTTTTCAAAAAGCAAAAAAAAAACACACACAAACATACCAAATTGAAGCCATTGTTTGATTCAAGCTCGATGTGGCATGCAACTGTTGTTTTCATTTGTACTGCTGCTATCAGGAAAAGTCTGAAATTATTGCGGTTCGCTAATGTCATCAAGTCTTTAATCATGCGAACAACAAACCTGTAATTTTGATCAATTACATAAACAGCGCATCAAATTTTAACCGTCCCTTCGTAACTGATCGATTATTTTTTCTTGTTTTCAAATATTCAAATTCATGTGACTCTGTTCTGTGTTACATGTATCATGCTGACAATACGATCGACACAAGCATGGAACGCACTCCATTCCTTTTTTTTCTGAATTCGTAACGCAAGAAAGAGACGAACTAGATAAAAAGAAAACGATAAAAGGTATTGTTGACCAGCAGAAACATAAGATACTAACAATAGTAGCCAATGCTAGAACGAGACGACTGTATGACAATCCACAAAAACGCGTCACACTAAAGACAGAGAGAGGTGAAGTATAAACAAATGTTGACAACAACAGGTGGAGACGACTGAATACACTCACACACAGTACAACTTCGATTTGATTGTCGGCAAAAAAAACACAACAAATTATTGATGTTCATTGATTGTGTGCCTATTATTTGTTCATTTTATCTTAATTTGGTGTAACTAATTGTAATGCATTTGGAAATGGTTGTTTGCATTCGATAATCAATAATTATCAAGTATGATGCATTGGTATTATAAGTTGCTAGCATTGCATCCGCGATGGGTGGCTTTCGTTGTGCTCATTTTGTCAAGTGTTTGTATTTTCATCGCAGTGACATTTAAAGAATTGCCGGATTTCACTGACCCCGCTCTGGTAAATGTGTTGCATTTTAATTGGAAGTAATTTCTTTTGAACTTTTGAATTTGTCACAATTAAAGGGGTTCGAATCACGGGGAACGGACATTTCCAACCGATTAACTGCATGGCACAATTTATTGGAAGAAACCAGACCCAGTGGACGTCTAACATCCAATTTTTACGATCAAATCGTGTATCGAGAGAATGTAAGCATGAGTTTTTGATTTTTTCCCCTCACAAACGGATATTTTAGGCAAAAAATCAATAAGTCTTTTACAACCAAATACAGTTTGCCAGACCTACAAAAAGACCGAAACATGGCGACGGCCACCATAAAAAACGAAAAATGGCAAAGTCTCTTGCCGGTAAAAATGTGACTACGTCAGGCAGTGCAAATGTTTTGGACGAACTGAGTGTTAATGAAGAAAGCAGTGATCGGCCGATGAAAAAAGGCGGTAAAAATAAGCGCAAGAAGATGGAACGTCCAAATGATGTGTATTTTTGTGATGCACCAAGTAAGAATGCATTCGTCAAAATGTTGTGTGATTTTATTAAATCTGTAATTGTACCATGCATATTGCAAAAGATCGTGAATACACTCATATGGTGCTGGTGAGATCCAATGGGAACGCATCACTTCTCGAAATGGATGCCTTGCGTGCAGTGTGTGATTTAGAGTCAAAACTGACAACAGTTGGCAGTTACAAAGGATTTTGTCAAATGAAAACGTACTCCAAAGAATGTTGCCGGCCCTGGTCTATACCAAACTACATCGCATTTCTGGCAAACAAAACAAGTTGCTCTGACATCCAGGTGCGCCTAATTTCTTATCAAGAAATCTAATCGATAATAGTCAATATTGCTGTTTATTTACAACAAAAAATAGGAGAACGACCTACTCGAAATGAGTCAACTACTAAGAGACTGCTACAAGTACTATCTAAATGGAAGTCTCCGAAGTGACTGTGAGAATTCCAAGTGTTTGGTTCCTGTGAAATGTGCACAATCTAATGCTGCCTATCAGATTTTACACTTTTTGACTGATAATAAATTCAATGTAAGTGCTTCAAGATTCTAAATTTATAGTTTGAATGAAAAAAAAACCACGTCAATTATCATCATTACTAAAAATATATTCTATTATTCCACTAGGAAACCAATCCACTATTTTCAACGATGATTTTTTTACCAATGGCCAAAACTACCAAAATACTGCCATACTATTACGATATTCTATCGGTGATTCATGATAATGACGTCCTTTCGGTGGCTGCAATCAATATGGGACTAAAGAATTCATTATTCGATGAACTGTTGTTCTATGATGGCTGGTTGATTGCCTTGGGTGCTATGTGTATCCTATACTGTATTTTAATATACACAAACTCAATTCTGATAACACTTTCGACGGTCGTGGCAAACATTCTGTCGATCGGCGTTGCTTACTTCATATATCAAGTTGTACTGCAGCTCCCGTACTTTCCGTTTATGAATCTGTTGGCCATTATCATAATCGTTGGTAATTTGAATCAACGATCGTATCCTCATATTAAACGTGTTTTGAAATGAGCTGCTTTTTGTATTCGTTGTTTTAGGTATCGGAGCCGATGATTGCTTTGTATATATGAAAGAATGGCGTTTATCTGCCGACGAATGGGAAATGGTTACCTCAAAACATTTACCGAAACGAAAATCAAAAAAGTTGATATTTTTAGTGTCAAATACCATGGAACATGCGGCCAAATCTATATTTGTAACTTCTTTAACTACAGCACACGCATTTTTAGCTTCGTATTCGAGTTCAATTACGGCCATTCGATGCTTTGGGTAGGCCACTACGTTTTTAATTTACACATTTCGTTATGTGATTTTCTTTCATATAAATTTTTACTTGATTGTTCGCAGGTTATACGCAGCAATTGTAATAATGGTGAACTATGTCCTTATGGTGACCTGGCTACCAGCCACTGTCATCATTGTTGAAGAACTGAATCTGAAACTATGCAAATGCTGGCAGTCTTACGTCGATGCCATAAATGTTCTAATCGAACGGTTCGGTAATTCAATGGAAGCAGCTATCATTCGTTTGGTGAAGGAGTACAAATATGTGTTTCTCGTTATCTTTTGTAAGTTAATCGCATCTAAACCATATATTTGCTTTGAACCAAAATAACAAAGCATTACACCAATGTTCTATTTTTAACAGTTATAATTGGAATATCCAGTGGTTTTATTGTACTATATTACCCAAAGTTGGGACTGCCCGATTCGCAAACATTTCAATTGTTGGATAGCGAACATCTTTTTGAATTGTATGATAGCAAATACCGTCATTTGTATCGCTTTGAAAGAAGTTTTACGGTAAGGGGGAGTTGACGCACACTGTTATTATTTATTAAGTCCCATTCTGTGACCCATTCTATTTGCACAATTAGGAAGCTGAAACATTTAAAATGCCGATTCGATTTGTATTCGGTGTAGAGGCAGTTGATGACGGCAATCATTTGATACCATCGTCCAAGGGGACGTTACATTTGGGGAAAAGTCTAAATTTATCCTCAGCAGAGACACAACTATGGTTGCTGGACTTTTGTAAGAAACTAAAACAACAAAGTTTCTATCAGCCAAATAATATGCCGGCCATTCTTCCAAGCTGCTTCATCGAGAATTTGATTGATAATATGAACAAACGGTGAGCGGATCACATTTTGACAGGTTCAATCGATATTGTTTTCTAATTACATTGTATTTTGCAGTTGTTTTGACCCCATGACAAATTCTAGTCGGATGCCGTGTTGTGAGGAGGAAAAGTTCCCATACAAACCTGAAGTGTTTGAAAAATGTTTACCCGAGATGATATCGTCGCTGTATAGCTCACCACGGTACATTTTTGTGCCCGGTGTGTCGGGTCCTAAGTTTGAGAGAAAATCATCGTTCGATTCGAATGAAACTCAAAATCGTGCATCAATCCGAGCTCTGGTCATGGAATACGAAAGCACGCAACCGTTTAGTACATCATACACGGAGATGTCGAATTTTTCAGCTAACATTGATAACTGGTTTAATGATATGCTGAAAAATGCGCCTGAAGCACTGAAAAACGGTTGGTTCACGAGCGAACTCGGCTTCTATGATTTACAAGGGACATTATCGTCTGGAACGCTAATTGCTGCAACCATCGCAATGATTTCATCATTAATTGCGTTGCTATTATTTACGATGAATGTGCTTGTCAGTTTGTATGCCGTTTTGACCGTGATATTCACAATTTTGTCTACCATGGCCGTTTTGGTGCTACTCGAATGGAAGCTAAACATATTGGTATGCGAAATTAATTCATGTTGAACTCTATTGAATTTCTAATTGCGATTTTTTATTTTTGTAATTTTCAGGAGAGCATAGCAGTGAATACGGCAATTGGGCTTGGCATTGACTTTGTGTTACATTACGCATTGAACTACCAGATGAGTGAAAAAAAGGATCGACAGTCAGCCACTGAATATTCGTTGTCACATATGATTGGGCCAACGCTGATGGCTGCGTTTACAACAATTATCGCTGGTCTGTGCATCGTATTTTCAAGCGTGCTCGCTTACATACAAATCGGCATATTTCTACTCATCGTGATGACGGTCAGCTGGTTTTACGCGACATTCTTTTTTTGTACACTCTTGTACACCATCGGCCCGATCGGAGGAGAAAAACAAACCAGCGATCGCACCAATCCAAATGATGTTCAAGCAATGCAACAACTTAACAATATGGTTAAACAAAACGCACGAAAACCCACTCATTTGAATAAGACTGAAACCGATACTTTGACTTAAGCTGTTTGGCATAACGATAAAATCGAAATATCCTTTTAGTGTGATAACAACATAGACTAATAAGATGGTGGTGTTCTTCATATTTTTTTTTCAAAACAAAAATATAATTCGTTTTATTTTAATACATGACAATAAAATATTTACATCAAGAACAATTAGTAATTGAAAGCAGGTATTTTAGTTTTTCTTGCGCTTTTCGAGTCTTTGGCATTTAAGGCATTGATCTTTTGAACATGAAGTGTGGGAACAAGAGCCACATTTCACACATCGCATTACCTTTATTTGCCATGGAAATATGACTTGTTTGTCAGCACAGTACTCGCATATAAATCCATGTGCAGTGCACAGCTAGAAATTTAAATTTAAATCAAGTTAAATATTTTTCAGTGGAATCTTTCGAGAATAAGACACGAGCTCTATTTTTGGTTGACCTACTTCACAATTGAACACATGTTCTTCGCCTTTTAGTATGATGTTGTTGATTTTCATAACAAATGTTCCATTACGCACATTCACGAAATCGTTCATTGACCAATTATCGATGTCATCATAAATATAAGACGGCATGCTGTCGAATTCGTTTTTAACTCTATCGAAAAGAAAAAAAAAGTCGATAGAAAAAAGGTAAATAAATCAAATTGCTAATTAATATATTAAACATCATTATGTGTGCATAATGAGGTGTAAAATGAGGCAATTTACTTGTCGTCATCGGCAAAACGACACGTTTGAATGAAATCGTGCACATATTTCAATTGCAAACGACGCAATCGACAGTAGCGTAGTGAGCGCACGCGGGCGTACAATTCCTTGCTTAAATCAGGCACGCGGAACAGTGGAACTTTCCATATTTGATCCAATAAACGATACGAAAATACTGACACCGGATGACATGAGAAATCCCATCTGCAAATTAAACGTGTGTTGATAGATCAATTGTATTGGAATTCAATCGAATTGGTTTCTTTCTATTAGAATCAAAATTATCTGTTAAATGCTAATTGCAGCAGCATTTACATGACAACGTTGAAAATAATATTTGAAAGTCGATCGATTAGATGATTGTTGGAAATGATCTAAATTGGCCAATATGTGTTACTCACCGATGTAAAACGCGAGACGGAATTGCAGAGATTTGGTTTCGATGGCAACCAGTACAATGATATTTGCCCGAATATTCACAATAACGTAAACTGTACACAAATGCCGAATCGATATACATTCCACAGCCAGCACATCGATATCTTTGCTGCTCCAGGAGGCTACGACGACTGAATGGAGATAAATAAAAGTAAAATTATTTTTTGGTTAATCGTCCAAAAAATTAATATTTTGATCTGTTTAAATTGATTCATTTCGATTGGTCCTTACTCTGGTGCAGGATGCCTTGTAAATATTATTTGAGCTCGAGGTGGTGCCCATTCGGGGGTTCCTCTGGTGTATGGAACTTTGTGCTTTCCCTGCGACGCAGTATCTAGCAATGTCCGCATATCGCTGTCGGCATTTGACAATAGCAAATCAGCAGCACGGGGCAACTGATAATCTTTAAATTTCGAAATTAAACTCAATGCGATTCCCTCAGCCGACAATGTTTCAATACTGCTGTCCGCCCATTCGGCAAACGCGGAATGATCGTTAATACTGTGCGATGATATCGAGAAAATCTGCCAAAACAATCGAACGAACAAAATGAGAAACCAACTTTTGAACAGAAAAAAGATAAAAATGTCGCTTTACCTTCAATCGCTTCAAGTCGCCAGCATTGCTAGTCGTGCTAGAACCACTGCTCGAAATATGCGATAAGTCCGATTCACTAGAAGAAGTTCGTGACATTGTTGCTATTTCCTCCGATAAAAATGAGGTTGTATCATCGTCAGTAACATTTACATTGTTTTTATCACAGGTTTCGTCGTCGTCCAGAATCCAATTTTTCAGCGGACGCTGATGGGATTTTCGCCTCTTCGTTTGAGTGGAGGCTTTGATTTGTTTCTCCTTTTGCCGCTCCATTCGGCCACATTTAATTTCCTCTATGGCTGATATAATGGCATCTGAAAGATTAAAGTGTGCATTTTCGCGTTCAAGATCGGTGATGTTGCGTCGCGTTCGTTGTGCCTCTTGCAAGTATGACGTCAAACTTTGACCTCGATTCGGAATTAAAGCACACTGATCATGATTGCATAACGGCGATGACGTGCTCGATTCAATATTGTCAAAGAGTGTGTTGCGTTGATAACGATTTTCGATCTTAGCACCGTTCGAATGAAATGCGAAAAATGAGGCAAAATCACCGGGCGCTGAGTTCGACGTAAGTTTTTTTCCCGGTGAATTGGAATTGGTGGACGAACCGTGCGACGTATTTAAGTACGGCAATAGATTATTGCTTTTGATTAGGCCAACCGATTTTGCGGGTACATTGCAATCGTTTAGAGAATTTGATGAGAGTTCGCCACGTCGATCGGTATGTATTTTAATATCATCACATTTCACGAGATTTATGGGCTGCAAATCATCAATCGCAGTTTTGGTGGCAGCATCATTCAGTTGATCGGAACGATTCGGCGGTGCATTTCGATGGTTGACTGGATGAGCAGAAGTTTTTTGTCGATCATTTATCATCAAATTTTCAGCCGTTAATTTCATGCGATGTGACTTGATGCGTACTGACTGGGATCGAGAACGAACCACAATATTTCGAGCGTCTAATTTTGATTCCCTGCTCAGATCAGGCAGACTGACAAATTTTCTCAATTTCAAACTAATAGAATGCTTGAGTTTGCATCGTGTTCGACCGTTTCGACATTTTCGATTGGTCGCTTGTGATTTATTTGCCAAATTCAATGAAGAACCATCACATTTTTTCAAACTAGATTTACTAGCATTTTTACTATCACAAAATTCATTGGATTGTTTTAACAATATTCGGCTCACGGTTTTGTCGCTCATCGTTGTCACAGTGGCGGCTGAGTTCTTCAGAGATTCATTAATAACGCTAAGATATAAATTTTGGTCAATTTGCAACAGAATGTCGTATTGTTTTTTGTCAAATGCGTCCAAACAAATATTCAAGGCATCTACAAATTTTTTACTACCGAAAAAAGCGAGCGTCACTTCATAACAATTTGTCAAATGTTCGTTGTCGGATAACAGACATTGTAGTTTCGTTTTTAGTTGATGTGTTAGTAAATTTTCATAGATCCACATCAACGCTTTGTCACTTCGTATGCGTGAGCTTTTTGGGGGTTGAATGCGTTTTATCGTACTGGAGCTACCCAACGTTTGACTTCCAATGGAAACGGTCATGTGTGGATTAATCCAATTGAGAGCCTCGAAAAATCGCCAAAAATCCGGTGATTTCTATATGAACAAAACAGGAAACAATTACGGAAAATAGATTATTATGTATCATGTGTCAAAAAAAAACCACGTAACCAAATTAACTACTACGTTTATCAGCTTGACTGAATTTATGGAATATTTTGTTATCGTTTCCTCTCACTAATCACTCAATTATTGCAATGCTCAAATGCAATTCGAATGATGCAATGCTACGTAGAAATTAACGAAACATAATACTTACATCAGGCTTAAAAATACGTAGACCATTTAGAAAAATTTGCTCGATTTTTTCTAGGATGTGCAGTAAAAGTGATTCAACATTTGGCCTAAGGCGATTATTATCAGCGCTTGTATGAGGTTCACTTGTTCTAAATCCGATGTCAGACGTTGTTGTTGCTGTTTCACTCTTGTTTTTTGCATTAGATGTCAATACCAACATGTATTCGTAAATTGATGACATCAGATCATACAACAGCTGACGGTGAACATGTTCAGCCTGCTCAAATTTTGTAATTTGCTTTTTGGTGGCACTTGACACTGCCACAGGCCCTGCCAATGGTGTCGAATTCATTTTCACTTTATCTATTTCTTTCGTTTAAAATTCGATGACACAAAGTCTGTGGAAATGTTCACACTACTCGATTGCATGTCATTAATACAGCAAATTGCTCTTGAATGATCAAAGAAACTACGCAAAAAAATATACTCGATACAAAACAAAGATCTGATCTTTGATCAATTTACTTATCACTATTCATTTGTCTTTGTCCTAATTACGAAACGCTCGTCTTATCCATTTAAAACAAAATAAGTCTTGAATTGAAATTGAAGTCGCTTGGAATTGTTTTTAATTTTCACAATAAAATTATGGGCCGTAACACTTTTCCATAATCAAAACCCAAATACTACTCATTTCTAGTGTATTATTTACTGTTTTGGTATTTTGACAGAAAGTGGCTCAAATTTAATTCACATTGACTCATTCTGTTCTGTTTGTGTTGTAGTAAAATAATTCCGCTGAATGTCACGCTTTATGTACTGTCATCAACAGCGCAGGGTTGTTCAATGTGTACCATGAACACGTCGTTTGTCAGCAAGTAGCATTTTGATATTTGTGGTTGTAAACAAAGATTCCAATGTTGACTTGATGTTTTACACAGAGCACACGATTTTCATCATAAGAATTGAATCGAAGACGTGATTCTTCAAAGGAAATATTTTTACCTATGTTGTGGGGCTAAAATTTTATCAAATAAAAAAGAATTCCTGAAATAAAATGAGATGAAAGCTAAAGACATGTGTTTTTAATAAATTTTTTTGTCCGCATTTACATTTTTATTGTAAAAAATCAGGCGATTTTACGCAATACATAAATGCATTTATGTAGACATGATTGGTAATTCAAATCATCCTTGGATAATTGTAAGAATGTTATTTTAGAATCCGCCGCTGCCGCCCCAGCTTGATACCTTTGGTGCTGGAGCAGTGTCGTCTTCATTCCAGTCTTCTGGTTGAGCAACACTTGGCAATTTTGGTGTGTCTTCGATCCAGTCAGCTTGTTCCTCGACTGGCTCTGGAACGTGAGGAGCTTCGACGGCTGGTGTCTCTTTCGTGGCAACTTCATCCTTTTCGGTTTCTTCTGGATCACGGTAGAAGAACAAGTCAACAACGACGTTCCATGGTTCTTTGCGTGAGATTTGACCACGAATGCGCAAAACTTCACGGGCAAGCAACCACCACATCAAACCAATTGAGTGAGTTGATTTGGTGTTGCATGGAATTGCAATGTCGATGTATTTCAATGGGCTGTCAGTGTTGCAGAAAGCAATGACTGGGATGTTGACATATGAAGCTTCGATGATTGGTTGATGATCGGTCAATGGGTCGGTGACGACCAAAAGACGTGGTTCACGGAAAGCTTTTTGAATTTGATTGGTGAACGCACCAGGAGTGAAACGTCCAGCAATTGGGGTTGCTTGGGTGTAGTTGGCGTACTTCAAGACAGCGCGTTGGCCATACAAACGTGATGAAATGACGAAGACCTGAAATAAAAAACGGTTTTAGTTTTTCGCCCAGTAACAAAAATCAACGGATTTCAATTGCAAATAATAGACTTAATCGATCAGTTTGTTGTTGGCATCATTAAATTTCAGCCCCGAAAGATGATTGAAAAAAATATCATCATGAAAAAAGTTCCATTGTATGTATACATGCATAGTGAAGAATTTAGTACAATTTAACTTACGTCTTGTGGATGTTCGATGGCGACGATGGCACGGGCAGCCAACAACAATTTTTCCCAAGTGCGGCCCAAATTGATGATGTTGATACCGTCTGGACGGCGTTTGAAAACGTATTGTTCCATTTGGAAGTTGACTTTGTCGGAACCGACATGGGTCGTAGCAGCTAACATTTTTGTAACGTCATCCTCTTTGAGGGCAAGAATGTCCAATCCTCCCGACATTTTAACGTTTTTTTGTATTTATTTTCGAGTTACGGGTACGCGAAAACCTACATAGCCACCGAATAAAATTTCAAAATGTTTAGTACATTGACATCAAATCGGTGCACCGCAACGTAGTGGGCACTCAAAAGTAAGGTTAGGTTTAGTATGCATCGCAAAAGTGCATTAATCACATGGAAAATCAAAAATTCGAACAGAAAAATTAACACAAACATAGAAGATATTGGAATTTCTTGATAAATTTATAAAAATTTCACATGAATAACACAAAAATTTCAATGAATCGATTTTATGAGTCTACTGGGGCACGTACTCGGTATGTATTAAAACACGTGGCGGCGAACTTGATAATAAAATCATAGAAAAGCCTAAATAAAAGTCTAAGTATAGTCAAAATTTTATGGATTTTGAAACGATTCAATATTTCGCTTATGATTAATGCACTTTTTTCGTTGAAAATACGGAGAAAAACTTAGAAATATTCGAAAATATGTTTGACGGTAAAAACTTACGCTCTGGATGCCACTGGGAGCAAAAAAGAAATGGCCGAATTGTAGTTCGGTTTTCGTTCGCTTTGACATTTCCATGCTGTTGCTGCTGCTGCTGCTGCTACTGCTATTGCTACTACTACACAGTACATATGAATGAATGTCTCAAAGTTGAAGCGTGAAGTTGCTGCGAGTTTCAGTGAATTGAACGTTTTCCAGGTTTACGTACTTTGAACAAATGAACGTTGGAATAAAACACATTGGCAGGTTTTGATTTTTTACTGTCGGTTTTTTTCTATTTGTTTTGTATAATTCAATTTTTGGTGATACCGAGCACCAATTTATTTAATTCACACATTTTTGTGTGTGTGTCTAATTTTTCGGCTGGCTGTTACTTTGGATTACACTCATCGTTGACATTAAAATACATTTATACGTTTATGTTCACCATTCATCATTAAAATATCAACATTTTGTTTGTTTGTGTATGTATGGGCATTTAAAATCTCGTTTTACTTGATGTATTTTAATTGAATCTTAAAAAACATTTCTAATGAAATTTCCAACAAAAAACAACATTCTCACCATTTTGAACCTGTTTCCCCAAAAATTGTAACAAAGGGAGGAAAAAGTCGCAAAAAATGCAACCCATTTGAGGAAGTAATTTGAAAAGAAAGTGGAGAAGCGAGAAAATCCTATTAAATGTGAACAACTGACAATGAATGCTTGCGGCCGTTTGTAAATGTAACTACAATTTAGGATGATGCATCTGCTATGCAAAGTGTAATTGATTCCTTTCTCTTTGAAAATGACACACTGAACATACTACAAACACATTCATTCCATTTAGTGCACTTTTGAGTAATCTAACCTAGAGGGAAAAGGGTTTCAATGTTTTTCTTTCTTCTTTTTCGTTTTATTTCGTAAGGATTGATCATCCTTTGTTTTAAGTATTGATTTTAGTTGTTTTGGCACAGTTGATTTTTGTTAACATTCGTGCATTTATTTATTGTCTATTCGATAGATAAATGAACCGGCTACTTATTTACTTCTCTTGATTTTTTCCCCTCTTATTCTTTTCATTACAACAAAACTAACAACTTGATGATTTTGTGCACAAAATGCAAAATTTTGAACCTAATACATAGTAGATTTAAAACTGAACGAAAAATGCTTATAATCAAAATAAATTGTGTAACGTTTAACATTCAATAAATATCGCGTTAAGTGACTTTTGCTCTACTACAATTCACATTAAATATATCATGACAATTATGTTCATCAACAATCAGGTGCTTACTTTTCTGCGTATGACACATTGGGCGGTGAACTACAGCCATACCCTTAAAAATATGCTTCATTTTTTTGTAACCATATATTTGTTGTGTTTGGATGTGTGTTTCTACTGATTAGATAGATACCCAATCACTTTTACACAAGAGGAATACAGCCGTCAATATGGAAAACGATAACATCCAAATGATATTATTCTTTTCTCATTTTGGCGCTAGAATCGCACTCGTGTGACGATGATTAGGTGCATTCACTAATACTTTTTGATTCTATCAAATTAGTCATCAACACCTATTTCATGTTAATTTTTTCTTGGCGAATTTTCTTCGATAATTTAGTAAAATTCGGTTTTTTGAATCTGACCTGCATCGTCATTTACCATTTTTCTTTTGGTTTTGTTCTGTTTTGATATCTGTACAAAAACTGATTGAAAATCCTTTTTTAAGCGTATGAATTGTTTCAACTGAGCCACTATGTTTGCTTTTTGGTTCGGTGGTAGAAACTGATGTGATTTAGGACAAAACTCAAATAACTTGTTTGCCTGCTTCAAATGACCCGAATTTTTTCTCTTACTTTTAAATCTACAAATCAGTTTGTCATTTTGTTTGAAAATGAGAAAAACTGAACACAACCCACTCTGACCGTGTTTATGGCCGAACTCCTTAAATGACAACTCTAACTCTTGACTGTGTCACAAAGTGCACGTATCATTTCGTGTTAGAATATGGACTGTTATTTGGTAACAAATTGGTTTTTCTTTTTTTCACCTAATTATACTACCTAAATGTGATGCAAAATGATTTCTATGGTTTGATTCGTTTTTTGCTCTTGCATTTGTTTTCATGTTTGTTCTAGATGAATGTTTTCGTTTGCCTCAACTTTTACTTAAGGCATTCCCATGAAAACACCTTTTGCATTCAGATAACCCCGAATTTTGTTTGATTCCCATGAGGCATTCAAAACGAAAAACAGTTTTCCCTCATGCACTTGAAACTAATTCAAAATGACCTGAATAAATGGAAGAAAGGAGAAAAATGTAGTGTGAACAATGAGTTTGAGAACACGATGGTTCTCGTATGCCGAGTCGAAAGCTATTTTCGAGTGGCCCACACGTTTTAAGGACAGAATTGAAATCCAGTTTGTTTTTGTATTGAGGTTCACGAAATCCTGGTTTCGATTTGTGTGTAGGAAAAAGCGTCGATTTTCAAAGCAAGCAAGATCACAAATATTGATACTGAGGTTCTGTTTAATTTGATTTTCCGTCATTTGATTCCGTTCGAGCTGAGCAGCATTTTACAACACTGTTTCGATCTCGGCAATCTCTGTCTTGAGTGACCTAGTGTGCGAAACAATTTACAATCAAATTTAGAATGCAAACGGTAGGTTTAATTAGGAAATGATTGGGATTAGGATGAAATTGTCACATAATTCTCACCATCTATATAAATCCTGTGCACTTCCGCCAAGGCTCAAGTTACCCAACAACGGTGGCCGCTCCTTGTAATGATGATTCAGTAAATCAGACGCGGACGAAAGTCTGTGGAAAAGCAATGATCAATTCATCAGTCATCAAATCTTTATCCATATGAATAGTGAACATTCTGTCTTTTACCTTAGATGAGGTGGTTTAATACCGTGCGAGTCCATTGCCTTTTCAAGTTGTCGCACTCGTAGTTTGGTCATGTCCAGTTCATGGCGCACCTTCCACAGGTGCGTATCGCAAATGGGATCAGAGCACCGATGGTTTCGCAGCATTTCTTGCGCCTCATACACAGCACCTCTGAATGTCAATGAGTTTCCTAAAATATTATAAAACCACGGCTTGTACACTACTGAATGGACAATACGTTACCTGTGAGATGTACCCATTGAGAGAGAGATAAGAGCACAACATCCGCCACGATCTGATTTGGCCAAACGCGTCCGGAAATACTTGAAATAAAGATGTTCCAATAACAAAAGTAATGCAGCCAACAAAATGCCAGCCATCAATAGTAAAAATGCAGATAAAAACTGTTCTAAAGCTAAAGGATCGGAAGATTTGTGCTCCTGTTTCCCCGGACGACACGATCCAGTCATCCAGTAGCGCCTTAATCTTTCAAGATCTCCGTTCGATCTCATTTCAAGCAGCTGACGATTGAACATGTTCACATACTTTGAATTTCTGCCAAATGCCAAACCGTAACCTGCAAATGATCAGTTCAACAGACATTTCCATATTCATAAGTGTCAACCTATATATGTCAAAAGTTTACACAACACCGTACCTGTCATTGCATACCAGCTGCCAACAACGAGCAATCGACAGTCCTCATCCTGTGAAACGAGATAGTCCAAAACAGTTCCATCGTAAATAAATGCATCGAGACCTCCATTCAACACAGCCGCAATGCCATCGTTCACAGTAGTTTTGTTGTATCTAAACGAAAAGCAATCAATCGATACAAATACAATTTATGCTGAAAACACATGAAATCCATCTATCACTTACTGTGACATATAGTTATGCATTTCTTTGAAGTATTTTCCGATAGTTGAATCCGTGTGACTGAATGTGGTTGTTCCAAATTTGTATGATGGTTTGTGTGAGTACGGTCGCATTAATCGTGAATCGTCTAATCCAGTAAATTCATGGAATTCTTCACTGAAGTGTCGACCAATTCACACATTCAGCAGCAGGAATTTGAAGGGGTGCCGGAATGACCATAAAAAGAGAAAAATTCACAAATCAAATGAAGACTCAATACGTATGAAAGAGATGGAAAAGCGAAAGAGATGCATAAAGCAGTAAAAAATTTATCCCCTACTACCGAGTTATCATGAACGCTGCGAGGTTGGCAGTGTAAATAGCCAAAAATACCACAGCAAACATCGCCCATACATTCGTCATGAATCGCGCTGTAAACCCTCTTGGCGAATCAACGTGAACAGCCGCTTGAAACAAAACCGCCCACACTAACCTTTTATTTCCAAACGTTGGGTAATGCGATTCGAAAGAAATAAACAATTAGGTTCAAATTGAATTCATAGAATTTATAGGAATTTATCATCGTTATTGTTGTAATGTTGTATGTTATTAATCAATATACAGGGCGTAACAGACATGTATTGTACAATATTTAAATCATGTTTTCCTGGGGTCACGACGAAATCGAAATGTAAACGCATTCGGCTCGAATACCAAAGTGTTGACCGTCATTCAATACCCGCATAATAGCCGAAAGTACGACTATTTACCCAACTTCAGTACAGAGGCTGAGTTCGAAATAAATACTTCTCACATTTTGAATAGATCCAGACCTCAGAAATAAACGTGTTTACGTGTTCAACATATTGGCATGCAATTCTGTTACACTCTATATTATTATGTTTTTTTTTACTATCTCGTTATCTCAATGACATTATTATTATTTATTAATGTTAATATTGCAATATGTTTAAAAGTGAATGTAAACCAACCAGTACGTCCGGAACAATGAAAATCGATGTGGTACATTTGTTTGCACTGATAATTTCATATCGAAACCGCTAGGAGACAGCCATTCAAACAGGAATATCATAAATGTGGCCGCTTGGATTGCTACAATGCCCACCTGTATTCATTTGCATTGCATTACGTTGCGTGGTTTTTTGTTTGAGTTGAAGAGTAAAGTTTGAATAAGTTGTTCATGAAAAAATACTATTTCAAAAGGGGCACACAAAAACTCTGAAAACTAAATTCAAACCAGGGAAGAAGCTTTCGAATCAACGGGGTTTTCGCCTCTTTACACCTGTTGAACATTTACACATACACACAACTAGAGTGCACTTCGTTAACGATGGCACTCCCTAGAAAATTCAAATCTTTGTTCTCAAAAAATGAGTAGAAAATAAAATAAAATTCAACAATTTACCCACAACGGAAGCTTATGCTAAGAACAACAACAAGCATTGGATTAGTTTTTCATTGCGTTAGCTTACCAACATCCAACTCTGAAAAAGTTTTTAAAAAGAATCCGAATAAATTATTCAGAGTTCGAGAATGCACTCCATTAACATTTTAATTGTTATGAAATTGAATGGGCATAAAATGCTACAACAACAACAAAAAACTCACCGATGTATCGAACGGTTCTAAGAACGCCGTCGGGGAAATAATACCAGTTCGCTTGTTTACAACGATAGCGATTCCAGTTTCCATAAACGGTTCGCTAAAGTCAACGACAGCCTCCCGTTCTGCATTAATCATTAATGATGTTAGCACCATATCAACCCTTCTATTAACCAAATCGGCAATCAGTCCATTCCATTTTCCATTTTCCAACGTTCCCCATTTACCATCCTCAACCCGCACCAATTCATATGTGAAACCTTTTTAAAATCCATTCAATTATTTATAGTTAGACTGAAATGAGGCAGCCAAATGCAAAAAGGGGAGGAGAAAATAATTGAAATTTACCTAGTGGTTCGGCGAATTTTTCAAGCAAATCAATACAGAATCCAGAGCAGCATTGGTAAAAACTACCATTGCGATGAGCTTGCCCAATATCGATGCTGTGATAAAATTTTAAATCGAATTTTCAATATTTTATCATATTATAAGTGGGGCGAGGTTATGTTATTTTGTGAAAAATATTGCATCAACTCGTAATAATGGCATTTCATACAGAGCTTCAACTTACTCTGCAATTTCATTTTCGGCAGCCACTCGACAGAGCACACCTCGTTCCATTAAACATTTCCCACTGACGGGATCGGGTGGAGACAAACTGATGTAGGGCGGCTCTTCTAAAAACGATATTTTCAAGTGGAACTTTTCCGGGACACCTTGTGGTGGGGCATGTGAATTTCCAGGCCACACAATGTCACGTATATCCAATTTTTGTTGTTCCCACGATTTCCATGTGCCAATCTACAGAGCGATTCGTCCAATTACAATTGATAGCAATTGATGAAAATTAATGCTGCAAAAGTGGATATTTAATTGACATTACCTCTTCCCACATCAAGCTCTTGCTGTTGCCACTCGGACGCAGGTTCATAATTTTCAGTTCGGTATTTTTAAGGTCTCCGTCGGCAGTGAACTCAATATGTGGTTTGTTGATCTCACTCTCCAGCGAGACATTGCGCAAATGACGGTAGAAAATTTCGCCATTTTCCCATCTTGATTTGCCTTCAACTTCACAGCTCAGAAATTGGGTGTTCAGTTTGCGTCCAGCATTTGCCGGATCATTCAGATAGCTTTGAATGCCGAGTGCGTACACCTTCAAGGCGGTCGAGATTTCATTAATCACCGACTGACTCGATGTGTCAAAGTGAACACCTAACATTCCAACCGGAAATTGCGGTGGAGCCTGGGTATTCTCAATAACACTCTGTGTCACGACCCACACATACTTTTCGCCGGTGATTTTTAGCTCATCGGCCCATTGTAAAATGTCGACAGCCTCACCTTTTGTGCAATACAATAGCATAATGCGTGACTCACTGTTGACTAATTCCATTAGATCACTGGCTCTCGTCACAATAATCGAGTTTAAAATATTAAACTTGAAATGTTCCTGCATTACACTCACTCGCTCGCGAACGGCCTGTACAAAATCATCATGACCCGCTATTTGTGACGTTACAATCGAAAATTGATGCCACTTATACCGTTCCAGTATACTGAGCATTGCAGCACTTTGGTGCTCAATGCTTGGTGCTAACTGAATCTGTAACCGTGACTGTGACGCTGTTCGTTCTAAACCTGAGTTGTCCGCATGCCATGAAATCACCGGAATCCCCAGATAACTGGCCAATTGGAGAAAGTATTGTGCTGACGCAGTGCTTCGTCCAAATGTTTCATAATTCACCAAATAAATAATGGCCGAAACATTTGCCTGCAAAAAATCTTTGCACATTGTGTCCAAAATAGCTGAACAGAAAAGAAAAGGAAAAAAACGTACTTTCAAACTGAAGAACGAATTTCAGGAAATTAAATTTCGCGAAGAATGTCCTTTTCGCTCGTTATTAATAAATGACGTAAGTCAAAAAGTGCCACTCACTTGTCGGCGATGGTGTCAGCAAAATCATGTCGAAATGAACATTTTTTGCAGTAAAATCAACCTCACGCAGAAATGGCAATTTTGTGTCGCGCATTTTTTGTAACGTCGAAACTGCGGATGAAATGGCCCGCTGGTATTCACGTTTACCGAAATTCGTGTGCGGAACAATCAAACCAATATTAAAATGTTGCGGTGTATTTTCCTCTTTTTTCGCGTGGTGTTCCAATTTGTGACGTTCTTTGTCGCCACCGATTCGCTTCGGACCACGCTCTCCAATTTGGATGCCTGACGATTCCGATGATGTTTTTGACCGCCATGCCAAGGTCGTTGTTGCAATAATCGATACGAAAACGAATAAAATGCGTGACGTTTTCATTATCACACCCTCTCCAAGAGATCTGTGAAAGTAACAAGCTATTCAAAGCTTTCTTCACTCTTACGTAACAATCGTTGAATACCCCCAAACCAATGTATTTTGCGTTGAAGTTTTTTTCTTTAGAATTTTTTATGAATCATTTTAATTTTTTATTCGTTAAATCTCCATTTTAATTAAATAATTTTTGTCATGGAATTTGTGGTATTTCTTTTTTTTTGCGTGATAAAATTTCATTCACATTCTTCACACAAATTCATTTTATTCCCTCTTTCTTCGTTCCATTGACTCTTCGTGGTAATTGTTATTGAGTTATGAGATTCATGCAAATCGATTTAGTTGAGATTGGTTTTATGAAGGGCGTTGTCACATCTATCGCGTCTGTGATTGCATCTGAATATACCACAATGTAAAAAACACCATCGACACTCGAAAGTCAACAATTCCAAATCGATCCACCGTTTTTCATTTGCACTGTTCACATTTCCTCGAAATTTTCTATAACAATCCAAGTGGAAATGTAATTTTTCCACATACACACAGAAAAAAAAGCAATTCGCAAAACGAAACGCACACAGTGTATGGTGATGCGTGCTTTCTTTGCAATAGAAAAAAGATGTCTGATTTTCAGAGAGCATACAGTTAATGGATGTCATGTAAAAGTGCTTTTGCTAAAGCTAAGCATCGTTCATCCTCTCATTTTCTCTCATTCGTTCTCTCGGTGCGAGAGAGCTGTGCGATGCGATGCTGGCATCCATCCACTTGGAGAACAATTTTGTATATACTTTTTATAAGTTGGCTTGCGAATAAAAAGCTTTTCTTCCTCATAAACGACCGTATTCTGCGCAGTCTCCCGTTCTCTCTCCCGTTTTGTTTACGTATGTAAACGGGTGCTGCTTTTTGCGGAGTGTGCTTTTGTGCCATTGTTTGTTCGGTTTATCCGCGGGCATGTTTGGAATCGAGCCACTTGTTTCAGTAGATTTGTTTACAAAAATTTTCACTTGTCTTCACATGGCTGTATAGCTGTGTCGTCAAAATATTTTATGGGGTAGCAAAATAACATAGCATTTTATCAGCTTTATGATGGCACTCATCATTTATCTGCGTGTTCCGTCAAACTTACCAATAGACAACTGAAACATGAGTACACACTCATTCGCTCCTTAAATTCATTAAGCGCGTGCTATACGGTTATCAGTACAATGAGTGTATTGTTTTCCGTGCGCGCCTTCCTATATTTTTTGTTCTTACTGTTTGGACTTGAATGGGGCAGAACACAACTTGACTTCGTCTTTTGATAACAAAGATGACGTATATTCAACTGTGTGCTAGAGTGTTAATCGCTATTGAAGCGAAAGGGGCATTATAGAGATGAATCGAAAGTCGTACATTCATTTTGCATTGTTTGAATCGGAACAAATGTATTGTGAAGCGGTATGCAATCTCAAGTATCTTATTGCAACAGAAAGGAAAGTTTGGAACACACATTTTTATGGTGTGAGTGTGTATGCCCAAGTTTCAAGATGAAAATTCAACATCCGAATGTATTTCGGGGCCGAAGTGAACAAAGAATACATGACGTGTATCATTGTGCACACGTATAATATATTGTATATACTACATTGATAGATGAAATATGGGAAAAGAAATCGACTGAAACATAAGCTACTAAACCTCTCATCAGCACAATTATTATTGTTTCGAGAACAATCGATTTGTCAAAATCATGCACTTAATGACTTGTCCCGTTTCAAATCAAATCTCGCACAATTCAACAGAATGTCATCTAATAGCATAGAAATCGGTTTCAACAACAGCCAAGTCATTTCCATCACCTCAGCAAATGTTTATTTTTGAGTTTTAATTACCTCGTATCAAAATGTATAAAAGCCGACGACCAAATCGAGTGGAAATCAATTCATTTGTTATCAATTAACAACAATGTCGAATCTCGTCTTCTTTTTGCTTGCATTATTTTCGACTGCTTGTTTGGCAGTCGAAAAACGTCGTGACGATAAATGGCCACCGCCAGAGGTTGTTGAAACATTCAAGCCGATAGCTCAAATTTGCCGTGCCAAGACCGGTGTAACGGATGGTGTGTCGATTATTCTTATTATTGATGTTTTTTCTCAAATCTTATTTTATTTTATATTAATTTTTAACGAATTTTTCTTATCGTAGAGGCCATTAAGGAGTTCAGCGATGGTGAAATTCACGATGACCCCGCACTCAAGTGCTATATGCACTGTCTTTTCGTTGAAGCAAAAGCTGTTGACGAACATGGTGAGGTTCACTTGGAATTGCTACAAGTGCATATAGACGAATTAGATAGAGAGATCCAGGACATTGCCATCCATATGGGGAAAAAATGCTTATATCCAAAAGGCGAAACTCTGTGCGACAGAGCCTGGTAAATAATAAATAATATACACAAATAAAAAATTATCAAACAAAAAAATAAACAAATAATATGCTTCACTAATATAATTCCAGGTGGTACCATCAATGCTGGAAATCCGCTGATCCAAAGGTATAGTGCAATTAGAGGATTTTTCTTATTAAATGCTCAATTATTATAGACTATGTATGACTTCATATAATTTAATGCTCTTTTCAGCACTACTTCCTTATCTAACAAATCGATGGTGATTGGGGTGATGAGTTCAAAACTATTGTACTGTACAGCGCTGCTACTAACTAACAATGTTGACAATGAAATGTATTCTATAACCCAATAATAAAGCTTTTGTTGATATTACCAAATAATGGTCTCACTGTTCATTACAAAAATGGAATATAGTAAGAACTATTATTATTCAACTATTAAAGGAGTCAAAATAGGTGAAAACTGCGAATACTTGACTTGAAGTCGACATGTTTTTCATTTGGAAGGAGTTATAATATGTACAAAATTAGTTAAGGCTGGTAATAAAGAAAAATATAAAAATAAAGAGAAATATTTCAAATCTAGCAGGAGAGACAATTTTTCTTGTTGTTCATTGAATCTTACCTAATTTCAAAAATAGGTTCCTGATTTTTTTTTCCTAGTTTCGGGGCTGAAATACAGAAATTAAATTTTTTAGTAAATTTGTTTCTGGACCATAGCTATTGCAACAATAGTGGAAGACCTAACAGCCATGTTCCCATGTTTTGTAAACAGTGAACAAACCGTCCCCACGTGCAATTGGCAATGCAATTGGAAAAATCGCTAGTGAATTGCTGGTATGCTCAGATATTACCGAGAAAATATGTGTCTTTCTCGTGCCTTAAATAGTTTGGTCTTCTGATTCTTTCAATATCAAAAGTATAAATTCCAATAAAATGAAAATACTTTATTTCCAAAATTCATTTTAATGAGGAATAAATACATTCTTTCTGGGATATTTGTTTTTTTAAGAATTAGAATCTAATACATGTCATATTTTGAATAAAATGTGTTGATTAATTAATAATTAAATAGGAAATCCCTCTCAATTGAATCTAAAACAGGAAATAATGCTGAAAGAGAATGTGTGTGTGTAAATTACATATAACGAATTAAATAAAGTTGAAGAATAAATACGTACAACGGGATCTTTGGATTTCCAACATTTATGATACCAAAAAGCGCGTTCACAATTATTATCGCCTTCTGGGCGTAAGCATTTGCGCCCCATATTAAGGGCAATGGTCTGAATTTCGTCATCGTAATTGGATTCAATATGGTCAGCGAGTCTCATTACAAACAATTGGCCTTTATCGTTCATCAGCTCCAGTAATTCGAACACACAGTACATGTAGCATTTAAGCGATGCGTCCTCATGAATTTCTCCATCGCTGAACTCCTTAATGGCCTCTACGATAAGAAAAATTCGTTAAAAATTAAAGTTTTCAATTTTGATGTACATAATGAAATCTGGAATGTTGTGATTTTCCCACCTTCGGTTACTCCAGTTCTTTCTCGGCATTCGGTGGCTGCTGGACGGACCCAGTCAAGTAACATCTTTGGTGGCCACTTTGTTTGGATTGCAGAAAAAAAATAAACAAATTATGCTCAGAAAAATACGCTGTAAACATGAACATCATTAAAATACAAACTTTTTCATCACGTCGAACTTCAACGGCCGCTGTGATGGCTGCGAATAAAAAAAACAATGTAATTCTGGCTACTCTCTTGCTCATTTTAACTGAGTTTACCAGCCTAAAGTGTGGAAGGTGATAAGCAATTCGCTATTTTATAGCAATTTTTCAGCTCATTTTTCTAATAATGATTGTGAGAGAGTGACAGCCCATTATTAATTACTCGCAACAATATTCTGGCATCTGCTTTGTAAGCATGAAAATGGAAAAAAAACGATATGTCAGATTAAGCGAAGATAATAATTAAAAACAAACTGAGTTGGTATGTTCAACATTGTTATCAAGAAATTTGGCGCATTACGGTGGAAATTTCTGAATAAAATAACATCTAAAATGATTTTCCGTTGGTCCACATATAAGTTTGAAAGTTTCTTCCAATTGCGTACAGTCTTTTCTATATGTTACAAGGTTTTGGTTTTAGTTTCGGTGAAAGTGCGAACATTCTTGGATTGGTTGACCCGTGACAGAAACCAGTAAGTTTCCATAAAATTCGTTAGATGGCATCACCATCAATGTCAAAGTCTATACGAAGAAACATTTTGAGCTTTAATTTTAGAATAAAACGAACTAAATACGATTGCTTAATTTGATTTATAATTATAATTAGCGAGAAATAATCAAAGTAAAGCTCAATTCAATTTACCATTCAACATGAAATTTGATGTTGAATCCATAAAATGTCTAACATATAATTGCCGAACACTCATACATACACTCGAGCAAAACCGGCTGCGAAGCAAACAATAAAACCTATTAAAGTTGTAGGCAAAAGGCGTTAGAGGTCGTGCGCTGTCATGGAATGTGCGAACGAGACGGCGAGATGGAAACAAATGAAAGGAAAGAAAATAACATTAACTTCGCACAATACATCAAAAATCAAGTGTCTTTTTCTTCGTCGTAAATACATACAAGCAGCAAATTGTCTTCGTTCGCCTTTATATGTTATACATATTTTCCCTGTCTTTCTCTTATAAAACCACTGTACTTCAGTTTCTTGTTTTCGTTCCATATGCGAAAAACGAGTTTCGACACACCAGCAGCAAAAATGTTTAAATTGCACCGTGTTCCAATGTCTTGTGCATTATTTTTACAACGAAAATATGTTATTTTCAACGCGTAAGTAGATTTTTCAAATAGAGTTTTATTTTTCAAATTAGAAAATATGTTAGCCAGTGAATTAACAAAAGAAAAAAGACATACAGGATTGTCCGAACATTCCGAAGGACTTCGGACAAAGTAAAGAAAAAACGAAAAATTAATTGTTTCGATTTGCGAACTTAATGAGCAAAAGCAATTTCAAAAAGTGAATTGTTTGATGGAAAAGTGGCCGAAAAAGAGCCACCAAAGTGAAATAAATTGTGTACAATATTGAACGAAATGAAATGTTAACACGACGGAATATATACAATTCGGTGATATGTATGTGGGCGTTTCTATCAGTCAGCCAAGTGAAGGTTGATGATGGGTGAAAATCACTCGGAGGTACTCTCTTTTTCACCGTATGGTTGGACTGATGTGATTGTCATCTGGCCGACATTCATTCCGTTGAATTGCATTAATTACATTCATTGTGCAAGTAAACTGAATCAAGTAGACGATTAGTTTATGCCAAAGTGAAATGTCATTTGGAAGTATCTTTGTCTTCCGTCACAACTCTGTTATCCGTTCAGTGACAAGAAACAACAAAACAACTTAAAGAAGTTAATAACATGCAATCAAACGCAATTTTGCATTCGCAGAACGGCAGCCAATCGGTTCCAAGCGACTGAATTCAATTCTGTTTTTTTTTTTTGGCTGGTGTGTTTTTTCTCCCATTATCTATTGATGCGTCACAAAAATGTTCCGATAGTGCAATGTACATCAATTTTTTTTTACGAAAATCTGTTATTGTTCTATTTCAAACTCATCGATTTGTTGGTGACCATTTAGTCAGTGTATAAAGTTAAAGAGAAAGAATCTGTCAATTTACAAACGGCGAAGTCAATAATAATTTATTCAATCAAACTGAATTTTTGCTGTCAATTGTGCTGGCCAAACGTTTGATTGAACTGGGAAATTAGAATGATACGATTTTTGACTAGTTCGAAATGGCCATACTTCATTGGATGGACGAAGAAAGAGTGCACAGAGCGCAATTGATAACGAATGAACGAATGAGTAATGGTGCTAAAAGCGCCAATAGAGAGTGAATGAGTGAGTGAGTGACAAGAAGAGGCAGTGAGGAATATTTTGCAGGGACACGTCAATTGTACCGAGAAACAAATGTTACCAAAACAAACACAATCAAATTGGCGGAGTGTTACGATACTAATCAATTTTTTCCAAGACGAAATAGAATTAATTGAAAATCATGAGTACAATATTGCTAACCTGTACACACCGTATCAAAGCGAGCAAATACACGGATTCCTTGACGCGGTGAAACGTATGCACAAAAGCAATTCATTTATTATATATATATATGTATATTTCGATCAAATGGAACGGAATAAATATATATATATAGAATATAAAGAGGAAAAAAAACGCTAAAAGCCAACAACTAAGCCAAACATCAAGCAGCGAATCTATACACTTGTATGCGAATAAGTGCGAGACGACTGAATGTAGTGGAACGACCCAAAGAGAAGGAAAAAAAACACACAGCCAGCTAGTAAAAGAAACAGTACAATATGTGCACATACAAAAAATTGACAATTGAAAACTAGATTGCGAAATAGATTTGAGATGACGCACCGTCTGATTTTCCAATATATATTTTTTTTCGTGTGTAACCATTGTGCGACCAAACATATTTTAATAAAAAAAAATGCATGGATTTTGAAAGGTTGTGTAAGCATATAGCAGCAAAAACATTACGAGCTCAAATGATTCCATGGCAAACAACAACGGCAACAGCAGTAGTAAGAGCGACAGATTCGAAGTACAGAAATAAGTGAAAGATTGAGTGTTAGTGCATGCGAGCGAAAAGCAAAGAGAGAGAGAGAGAAAAAGAAGGAATTCCAATGGATATGTTAGCCGAAATAAGTGTGATAGTGGTTCGATATATTGTGCTTTGTGACTGGGCTCTGTTGCATTATATTTTTTTTTCTGCTGTGTCCCCCCAATGTCTTGGGTTTATTTCACTCACTGCTAAAGCGATACTCGAGATATCACACAAAAAAAAGAAATATTGCAGCAAAGCATATTCGATTCGACGGGGGCTCTTTCTTGCAAGTAAGCCAACCAGCTCGCTCTCTTTCTATCTCTTACTCCCTCTCGCGTACTCGCGCCGTGATATTCGTACTATCGGTAAACATATTTTTATTGTTACGAGCACTTTTTTTCTTCTTTCTCACTGCCTTGTGCATTTTTTTCTTCGTCTCGGTCTGTCGTGGATTGTAATATCTTTGTGTAACTGTCTCGATGCAACGTTGCAAACCATAAATCCAATCGTTGCGCTGGTTCCGTTGCTTTAATTTTTCATCATTCGCCAACATTACCAAACCTGTTTCATAAAATTAAAACGATACATACATTGCTGACGAAAAATTAAAACAGGGCAATAAAAAGGACGCCAGAGAAAGAAAAAACAGCAAGCGAGCGATATATATAGAGAGAGAAAAAGAGCAACAACTGAACAATAAGCGATAATTAGATACAAAAGTTATTGTGCGCTAAAGCACAATTTTTTATTCGGCACACACACACACACCCATTTCATTTTCAGCAAAGAAGTTAACCAAAACATAAATTATGTTGTACAGCCAAATTCTTTCAGCTTCATTCATTTTTGATTGCCTTCTTATCGAACATTTCCATTTTACAATATGGTATCGTTGTAAAAATCGACTCGCTTGTGTTCCATATGCTATGCATTTTTACACATTCCACATTCATACATGCAAAATTTTCCGTTCCATGCTTCAAATATCCATCTATTCATCAATTTGTTATGACATTTTTGATTTTCTGTAGATTTTACGAATTTCGTGTCCATTCCTTACTGCGCTCATCGAGTGAATAAAATTTGAAGAGAGAGAAAAAAAACACTGGTACGATAATGAATCATTCCAAGAAATCACCTCAAAATGTTGCAAATACGAAAACAAACAAATTCCGAATTGATTAACAATCGATTGCAGTATTCTTGAGATTTTGTGGTTGTCTGGGAATTCCCCGCGCACAAAGAAAAAAATGTGAGGAAAAAAACAAACAGCCGAATAAATAAATGCGATGAGATAGTGTTACCAATTCACCACGTCATCGTAAAAACTCATTTACAGCCTTACACTCAAACCGTTCACATTTATACAGTGGCACAAATATGTGTATGTGCCGCATTTTGCGGATCGATTTGCATCATTCGACCGTTCACTACGCCGAACAACTGAACGAACCTCATAATATAGTGCATATTCTCGCATGTTTGTATATATATGGCTAGAAAAAAGACGTTGCCGCTTACAGCTAGCTCGTAATCAATATGTGACCCCCTGCATTCTTTCTATTGATCCACATTACATGGTTTTCAATTTTCCATCCACCCAATTTATGGTGTTGCACACACCAGTCCTACGGTTGAATCATATTTCATTTGCTCCACTGGAAACAAAGATCATCGAGTGAGATGAAAAAGTAAAATGGTGAACAAGTCCAGACAAAAGGGAAACTGTGAGCAGAAAAAATCATACGATACTGTTTGTAGTGTGTGTAAGGAATTTTCGTGAGTTTTTCCAAAAGATGAAAACAAGGCGTTGACAAGCATATTGTTTTATGTGGATTACGAATTGATCTGTCTCAGCTTATCCGAGAATGGCAAGGTAAATGGCAATCAACAATCAGGTCAAAACAGTTGGAACACACTCATCGATTGACTATAAAATCATAAACAAACACTAAACAAAGATTGGAAAATCGTATGCAAGCATTAGAAAACGGAACATATGGATGGTGTGTACAAAATCAGCGTTTACGTGCGTGTGATACGGAGCCAATGAGAGACAGTGTGTATGCGAAATAATGTTGGAGAGATGAACTGGTTGACATGATTGTGCGTGTATACATAGATGGATTTGCTTGTGTGTATGTGTTTATGAGACAATTCTTTTTACGTGCGGAATGTAGGCAACAAGTGGAAAGCT